AGGACGCCTGGAAATGAAGGCAAAGGGGAATAATTACCTAAAACATTTAAAAATAATTCTTTTAAGTATAAAAGACCAAGGTTTTCTCGGCATGGGAAATCAAAATAGCTCAGGTCTTTTTGATTTAACCAAAGATGTTTTTCCATGATTTCAAAGTAACTTACCTGACCTTTTTAACAAGCACTTAGGCTTCCATTCAAAGCACCTAATTAAATGCCTAAGCCAAAAAGTAGGTTTAATGGCTTCAGTGAAGTAATTTACATGCTTAAAGTACTTAAACACAAGTGTAACTCAATTAGATGGAAGAAGTCTTAGTCTTCACGGGATAATGAGAACTAATCATGTGTTTGCCCTTAGCCCGCTACAATGTGAAAGCAGTAGGATAGTTAAAATGGCTTCTGGCTGGCTACGTAAAAGCTTGTCTATCCTCAGACAAGGTCTATCCTCAGACCTCTAGGGAAACCTCCCACTGTGCTAAAGTGGCCTCAGGAGGCCTTTAGGACAGCGCCTGTTTGCTTACAGCATCTAGTACAATAGGGACTTCTGTAGCAGCTAAGGGCCCATAGGTACTACCCTTCTTTTATCACTGTGACGACTGCTTTAGAGCATAAGCTGCAGTAATGGCCCACGTTCCCAGACCGTGGCCTCCAGAGTACCAGTGATCTATCTAGAGTCTCACACAAAATACACTCTGAGAAGTGCATTTTGTGAGTAGATGAAGCATCTGCTACAGAAGCCTCTGTCTGCTGACAGAAAAAACCTGCAGAAGTGTAACTTCTAAAACTGTTGTAAAAAGAATTAAAAAAAGGGGGCTACAGTTCCTCACATCTGAAATAATGGAAGACTCAGTTCACCAGTTATCCAGGCTGGTGACCTCCTTTCTTAATACCCTTTAAGAAACTGGAAGGAGGCCTGAAAGTGTGCTTATTTTCATTGTGAAGTGATCCTGTAAATAGATGTCAGGAAAGTAAAACAGTTCTGCAGAGGTTTGATGGTTGGTTGCATTCTTTTTTTAAGGACACATACAAAAGTTGATGAGAAAACTCCTCAAACTCTTAACCTACCTTGTCCTTAAGAATTACAGTATTTTTATTTTATTCCAAGTCTAATTTATTTTTAAACACATTAAGGATAGAGAGAAGGGGAAAAAAACCAAAACAACAAACTAGAGGAGAAAGCCATAAAAAGTAATACTGTGACACAATCTAACAAGTTTTACAGTAACACCTAATTGCAATATAAATAAAAGCATCATACCTTCTATCCCTCTGCTGTTCGTTATGGCTAGAGGTCCGAGAAGCTATTTAAAGAAAAGAAACAGAAGTTTTGAAGAGGTTAAAATATACTGTCACAGCAATAAGATGATGATAATAGCAGAGCCCTTACCAATCCACTATCAATGAAATGGAGAACATACAGTATCTGATCATAAATTCTAGATTTTAAGAGTGGCCAAGTTTAAAAAAAATTATTTGCGTTAAATATGAGAAGTTTTTAAAAGGTTCAGGGTGCAGTTTCATAATCAGTTTAAGTCACTCTATGTCCAAGCTACCACCAAGAGAGATGGTCCTGTCCCTTTTCTTCTTCCTCACCACAAGTTCCTGCATTCTGCATTGTGGTGACCCTGGAGTTAAAACTTCTTTTTCTTTAGGTAAAACAATCCATTAATAAGACAAAAAGAAGTGTTAAACACGTCTGGCTTTGCTTTTGATGGCTCATTTCTGAGATGTGTTCTTTAATTTTTTTTTAATATCTTTTTGTTTGTTTTTGAGAAGGGAGAAGTACTAAAGCAGAAAATCTAAGAAGCTATTTCACCCTCCTTTATGTGAAAAGAAAAAATTAAATGTTCCCAGCTAGAAATTTCCTAAAGTTTATTCACTTGCGGACTAAAAGTCAGCATTTCTTTTTTTTTTTTTTTTCTCCTTTCAAACCATGTGTTTTAGATTACATAAAATAAGTGAATCCTGACCTCTTCATTTTTGTATTTTTGCCATATTTATATTCAAATAATTTTTTCAAGGGCCACATTATAGTTTCATTTTGATTTCTTTAGAGAGAAAAGGAAATTATCTGAGGGCCAAATTTTTGCATAGCAAGTGCAATTTAGGAAGTGGTAGAGTCTTATTGTCCAAAAGCTGACAATTATGCTATTCCTGTGCCATCACAGAATCATTAGCTGAAATAGGCAAAGCATACTTGATTCAGGAGTCGCATAATGTTATGTCAGACATACCTCTTCCACAGGGCATTTTTGATATGCACTATTCATGAGTGCTAGAGGAAAAAAAGAAGAGGAGGAAGAGGAGGTGAAGGACAACAAACCAAGGCTTCAGAGTGCCAGAAACCATGATCAAATGGGTTAGTCACACAAAGATAAGAGCACGTGCCAGTGTTGTAAGAGGATAACTGTAATGTCTATTCACAATATAGTGTCTTAAAAAACTAAAATAAAAGCAGATTTTATTTCTAGTCTCATGCTGATTTTAACAATGGCTGTTCAGAAGTTTCCCTTGCAATAAATTAACCATGAAGAATATAACTGAATATGGAAATGTCCACTGTATGACTCAACAAAAAGCCACTGTAGGAATGAGGAGAGGGAAGTCAAATCACTTTGAATGCTTTATTTAGTTTAAAAATCATGGTTTATTTGGGTCTGTGCTTTTTCCCTTCCAAAAATAGTGGGTTACACTGAGGTGTTGATACAGATGCAAAGAGGCTGGGATCCCATAATTTATACTCCCACCTACCAAAGAGGAATGGGCAGGCAGGTTGATCCCAATAAGAGGCGCACCTCAAAGTTTCGGGCATGATTGAACATCTCCTAAACCAGTTGTGTAAAAATTGTTTGGCTAAAATAAGTAAATAAAAATCCCCTACACCTTACCTTCACTTTCTTCTTCAGAGATCTTAACACAGCACTGATCTAATACACTCATTAAAGAAAAAAAACCACCAAACAAACAGACCCAAACCAACCAATTCTAAGATTACTTTTGCAAAGAGGATGGAATAAAGTGTTAATTTGGTAAATGTATCCAATACAACTGCTTGGGGTATAGCCGAAGTACAATGATAAGGGCATTAGAAATAAAAACTAATTAATGAGGGATGTAAAACTGAATTGATAAACCTGTCAAATTCTTTCATTCTTTCTTCATTTCTAGATAAATTCTACATGCTGTTTTCTCCTGTGAGACTCTACATGTATTTCTATTTATTAAAGTTATTAAAACAAATAAGAAAAACCTAAAAAAAGTCTGAAAGACCTTTTTCCTTTCTTAACATAGGCAAAAAACCGCCAGTGAGGCATCTATGTAATCCAAGAAACTCCAAATTTCAAGTAAACAAGTAAACTCACTTGAAAACAACACATTTAAAATGTTTATATAAAAATAACTTTACTAGTAGATATAAATATGTCTCTTCAAAAGAGCTAATATCGAAGCCATCATATATGTTTTCAGAATGTGCTCATTCTGTTTAGGAAGAAAAAAAAAAAATCTCCCAGGCATTTATGGAATCAAGCTACTTCCACGTACATAAACATTTAATAAAAACATTTATTTTTTAAGGACCTTGACAAAGTTCTTCCCTCCTTCCATCAACCACTTCCCTCTTTTTGCTGTCACATTTTTGTTACAACCACACTTTTAGAACATCTTTTGTTTTGGAAGCTCTTAAATCCACAGTAGGAGCAGAGGCGAAAGCTACTGCATCTTCTGCTCTCACATATTCCTTGGAGTTCTACAAATGCTAGGGAAAAGAAAATACAAACTTTCTAAATAATCCTTGCCCCCAGACTTGCACAGCTTTTATTCCCTTGCCATTTCAAAGAAATGAATTTAAATTAAAAAGTGTATGAGAGAAGACATGAATTTTTAAAATATAGCACATAGCTGATTTACAAACAAAAGAAAAAAACCTGCAGCCATTTTTCTGGCCTTGTGGTCTTTTGATCCTGTAAGTCTATTCTTCATTCCCTTTGTGGATTGCCTTGAAAAAGCATGCTATTAATATTACCCCCAGATTTCAAATTATGACAGTTTTAAGATTTAAAAAAACTTTCTTCCATCAGGGGAGTCAATGGAAACGTATTTCAGTGCTGGTTTACATACTGACAACTGAAGACAGTTGGCTCCCCAACTTCCACACTAAGAAATGCTAAGGGTGCTAATCGTTGACGTTCCCAGAAGCATATGCTTAGTGGTATTTAAGTAAAAGGTAATCAAAGCAGTTAAAGAAGGGGTGGGACAGGAAAAACTCAGTGCATAAAGTCCACACTTTTTCATTTTATAACTGTATTGGTCTCAGGGGAAAGAAAAAAATATCAAATCAACTCATAACATTGTCACTATTTATTTCTGTTAGTGTCAATGAGGCATCTAACTGTGTTTAACCTAGTATAATAGAATTTAAGAAAGTAAAGGATTACTGGTAATACTGTAAATAGAGGACAGAGCAGTGACTTATAGATTCATTTTTTTGTACATATTTCTTACAAGCGCTATTTAGTGGGCTTTATCCAATTATTTTTGAATGTGCAGTGGTAAAAGGTACTCAGTTTGTGCTGTATACTTATGCTTCAAATGTTTTTTTTCCTCTACTGTTTCTTCTCTGGGTCCTGCTTTTCAAGTGCACTTAATATGTCATTTTTATTTGAAACACATACAGATTATGGCGCAGGGGGCATTTTAAGCTATGCGATCAAGATGCCTGTACAACCACCATTACACCACAAACCCATAAATTGCGATGCTACAGACAAGCTGGTGGCAACAGAAGTCTGACATGCACTTTTGAGTCTTTGGAAGAGAGCTGGGCTAGAATTTACAGTCTTTCAGGCAATCTTTTAAGGCAATACAGAGGCAACTATGAAGTTCATTCAGGGATCTGCTCAGAGATACCATCCTGCTGTGAGTACTGAGCACTTCCACAATATAGACACTGCACAATAATATTCCATTAGCAAATCTGTATGAAATAGCAGACAGTTTTGTCATTGCAGACTGTTTTAAAAGCAAGTTTCATTTTGCATTAAAGATTGGAACCACAGCCTCAAATAGCCCAAGCCTCGTCGGAAATCAAGCTCCAAATTTTTCTGATGATTTTTATCTATTGTCCCTTCCAGCAGCTGTGAGTAAACATGATCCTGCCAATTAACTGTTTCAGTTAATTCATATTAACTATTATTAATAGGTTTTAAAGCAATAATATCACTTTCTACAACAAGGACGTGTGCTAATATTTAAAAACACAGCTTCTTTCAATGCTTTTCTAACACCGGGCTAGGCATTTCTACCATCAGTCCTATGAAATATGTAGACTATTAGACTGAGAAGTTATTCTTCTCACTATATAGCTGCCTAGGAATAAAAGTTATTCATTATAGTATCTCAAGGAGAGCCTCAAGAGTGGGCAAACACTTCCTCCCTTACTCAAAAAGTAATACATCAGAAGAGCTGACAGAATGGTCTCATGTAAGAGGCCATAATTGCGGTCTTTGCAATACCAAAGGTGCTACATGGCTGCGGAGGCCCTTCTTCAGGGAAAACTAAAAGGATCGGGTAATCCTCAAGCCAAAATCAGAAAAAAAAGTCTGATTTCACCCAAGATCTGATTAGACTATTTCTGTACAAGTGGAGGTTCAAACTAATTGGAAATTTTCATGCATCTCTGAAGTAAGAGTTGAAGTTTTTCTCCTGAACTATTTCTTGGCACAAGGGGGAGGTCTTGCTCCTTTTCTTCTAGTTCTGTTTCCAGGCGCCTCAGGGAAATGTTAGGTCATTTGACATTAGAGCTGGGCTGATTTAATGCTTGAATGTAGCTAAAAGAGATGGTGATGCCCAATTCCCCTTCCAAACGCAGACTTTTGTCCCCTCTTGAATGAACATTAGCACTCTCATGACCCCACAGTAAGCGAGTTCAGAGTGTTCAATAAAAAAATAAGCACTTTCTGTACAGTTTTTGTCCATTTTATCTCCCTGAACGTGCTCACCTTGGGCTCAGACCACCAGCAGCAAAGGGGAAGGAACGTGCCACCCCCAACAGCAGTCTGTTTCCTGCCTCTGCTTCCCAGCTCCAGTTCTTCTTTGTGCAACTTCAGTGAGGGAACTGATCAAAAATAACCTAGGGGTGTGACAGGGATTCCTCTTCCCACCCCCAGTGAGGTCAAATACCCTCTTCATAGCAGACCAAACTGCTGGGCACCTTAGAGGCTGACATTGCTGCTGAATAAAATCTGCATAACTACACCCTTAGTGCAAGCCTGTAGTTTCACTCAAATTAGACAATAATGATTTGTGAAGGCACTTCACTCCTTCCTACACCTTTCCTTGGGCTGTATGTTCCTGCCTCTGCACCATTCCCTGCATTATGCCAGCCCAAATGTTTGTGCAGATGGGGAGAGAATGAGGTCACAGAATTGATCTGG